CCATCCCACTCACTTTCCCCTCTCACCTCGGTTTCTCCAGCTGTGTGCACCATGCCTCTAGTTCATCGAAGACCCCACTCCCTCTACTTCTCCCCAGGACCAGAGTGAGACAAGAGAGGCACAAAAGTTAATGGGGCACTCAGGCTCGCAGGGGTGCCAGCGCCATCTCATGGGAGGTAAGACCATTTTGCAATCATTTCCCATCTGCAGAGGCTCAGCAACAGTGGGCGTTTCTAAGAAGTGACAGAGGCAGGCTCCTTACAGGGTCTTCTCCCTGTACGCCAGTCCCTCTTCCTGCCATGTCATGGCACTGCTGCCTAAGCTGGCTAGCCGGGGAGGGGTGCACATGGGCTCCCCTGCCCCAGGCAGCCTCTTGGGTTGTGGCTCCTGGTGGCATGGTGCCTGCTGACAGATTAAATGAAAACAGACACAAAGACAGGGGTTAGGTGGGGTCCTACCTTCCCCTTTCAGTCCCCATCACACCACCTGCTGGAAGCAGTGCCCAGAGGCCTACCCACACTCCAATAACACCCTTCCTCTTTGGCTCCCACTTTGGCTCCCTAAAAGCCTGCTGAATGCAACACCCCCTCCTTCCTGCCAGCTGCTTTGCCTCTGCCTCCTTTCCTGCCTGGCTCCCCTTCTCTCCCTGCTCCTCAGGCACCCCACCTTTCTTCCCCTTCTCCATCTCTCCGCCTGAGAGAAGTGTAGCCCCATTCTGCCCCCAGGCACAAAGCTTCACCCAAATTCCACCCCACCCTGGATCTCCACACCAAGCGGCTAGGGGTTCAGCAGCCTGAGTGGCTGTGGTCAACACCTGCCCTCACCCCCTGCCCGAATTAAGGTGGACTAATGGTGGGTGCAGGCTGTTCCACATGGCAGATGGAGCTGCTGCGCCTGCCTCAGCCACCAGTGCAGCAGATGCAGCCGAAAGGCCCCAGGGAGTGGAGTCGCAGCACCGGCTGCCAGCTGCTCTCTTAATTAAGGAATGTGGGAAGTGGCCCCTTTGAACTCACCAGCTAATTTACTCCTGTGCACTCCCCCCTGTGGCTGGGTAATTAATATGGTGTGAACCAGTGATTAGCGAGTAGAGAGAACCTGCCTTCCACAGACTTAACCCTTCCCTGCACCTGGGAAGAATCGCCACCTTCTTAGTCCACTGGTTCTCCAGTGGTCACATGGGCAGCAAGTTTTTCCCTTTGGGGAGGTGGGATTTTTGTTGTTGTTGTTGAGACAGAGTCTCACTCTGTCGCCAGGCGCCAGGCTGGAATGCAGTGGTGGGATCTCGGCTCACTGCAACCTCCGCCTCCTGGGTTCAAGCAATTCTCTTGCCTCAGCCTCTCGAGTAGCTGGGACTACAGGCGTGCGCCACCTCACGCAACTAATTTTTGTATTTTTAGTAGAGACGGGGTTTCACCACATTGGCCAGGATGGTCTCGATCTTTTGACCTCATGATCCACCCGCCTCGGCCTCCCAAAGTGCTGGGATTACAGGCATGAGCCCCTGTGCCCAGCCGGAGGTGGGATATTTTTCAGTCTTCACTCAACCTCCTCCCACCCTCTTTCCCAGCTTCCTCAAAACTCCCCTCAAGGAAAAGGTCTTCGGGTGGGGGAAGGGCTGTGAGTCATTCCTTGCCTGTATGGACCACTATGGGTGACCAACTCTCCTTAGTGGGAATGTAACTCCCCACTGTCTTCTCCAAAGGAATTCAGGATCTGGCTCCACGCTGACCCCATGCCTGCATCCCACAGCCCTCCCAGTCCTAAGCTTTGACATTTTAGAATCATTCAGTCCAATCCAACAGATGCATGCAGGGCTTTGCCTCATCGAAAGCCTGTCCTTGGCCATATTCAGGGTGCAGAAATGAAGGGGATGCCCTCATGGAACTCCCTGTCTGGGAGCAGAGAGTCAGAACAGGGGATTGCCCAGGATGAAACACACCTTTACCTGCATTTACTCAGGTTTCCCGGCTTCCCTCTCCCTGGCCATTTAGTAGCAATTGTTAGTATTTGAGTGCTAACCTCACCCGACCCCAATTTAAACTTTCACATGTGTTCATTGGCAACACTGAGAGGTAGATACTATCATTGATCCCCATTTCACAGATGAGGACACTGAAGCACAGGGAAGTTACTTTGCTCAAGGTTTCACTGCTGAGATTTGAACTCAAGTCTGAATCATGCTTGAGTTCGGAACTCCTACCCTCATGCGTTGTATTCTTAAGTCTCACCTCAAGTACCACTCCCTCCATGGAGCCCTCTCCAGCCTCCCACTTGCCCTGGCAGGGTCAAATCTGTCCTCTGGCATCCAGGGCACACATCTGACATTGGTCTTGCCACACTGGTTGTAATTATTGGTTTATATATCCCATCTTCTGTGAACTCTTTAAGGTCGGGGCAAAGCCTTTCATCTCTGTGTCGCTAGCTCCTGGCACCTAAGTAGATGCTCAATAAATGCCTGATGAATGAATGACGGATTTGGCAATGGAGTCATAAATGAGTTCCCTCCCTTGCCCTCTCCACCCCCCAGCCAGACAGCTTCCTAGTTCTGCCCCTTTCTCGATACACTAGACATTTCCTTCATCTGCAGGCCCTTCTCCCTCCCACAGGCCCATCACAACAGACAACAGCTTCCCCTCCCTTTTTGCTCTCTCCCCACCTGCCCTGCCTGCTGTCCTCCCACCCCCACTTAAAACCTACAACAGCCCCTCCGTTCAAACAGTGCTTCCAGAGCGTTCCCCCAGTCCACCAGCCACAAACTTACCCTGAGTGGGGTGCTTGTTATAAGCACAGATTCCTGGGCCCCAGCTCACCGTGATAGCACCTCTGAGAATCCAAGTGCTAAACGAGGTTGAGAGTCACTAGTGTCCAGAATAACCTAACCCAGTTTCCAAGGCCTCCACAATCTGCCCCCAACCTCCTTTTCCATTCTTCCCACCCAGCCCTTAAGGACTCCCGCCTGCTGTCCCTCATCCTCTGTGGAGCCTAGTTGGTATTTTCCCATGGCCACATCCCTGCACACTCTGCCCTCCCCTTCTGCCCAGAGCCCACCCCCAGCCTCTGGCCCTCTCCTTTCCTCGTGCTCTCTAAACCATGCTCATCTTCAAGGCCCAGTTCAAATTCCACCTTCTCAGGAAGCATCTCCTGCCCATGTCTGTGAAGCCCTCCTTCCCACCCACTTCTGAGGGCTGATTACCTGTTTGCACAAAGTGGTGTCCATCTGCAGATAAGCCTTCACTTTCTCTGATGCGAAGGATTATCTCTACATTTTGGTTGTGAGTACCTGGAGGGCAAAAACCTTACCTAAAAAAATCCTCCCTCTGCAGCAGGGGGTATTCTTGTCTGTGAGACATGAGCTGTTTAGTGGCCCAGGGCAGATTAAATGAGGCAGCAGCAAATACTGCTGGTGTGGGGAGAAAGTCCAATGCTGAGGACCTGGCAGTGTTAGAGTGCAGGAACTCAACAGAGTCTGAGGAGAGAAGCAGAGGGAAGGGCAGAGCAGGGCTCCCCACAATCAGCAGAGTGCATTTTCAGCAGCCCCTGGGGGAGCTGAGGTCCCTCCCTGCAGGCCTTTATGAGAGGAGGCAAGTACTAAGTAGGGACGAGAGATGGGAGCAGCTAAATCCTAATGCCTAGTTCCTGGCTGAGTCCAAAGCTCAGTGTCCAGTTTGATTGACAGGTGAGGGGCTGTGCAGGGCCAGATACAGTGAGCCACCCTCCAGACTAGCAGGAACTTCCCTCCAGGGCAACACAACCTCTAAAAGCCTTCCCCGACAAGAAACCAAGAAACTTGAAGTGAGAAGAGAAACAGGATGAAGAGGAGGTGACTGTGGCAAAATAGATTACACTTCAAAGGTTGAAGGTCAAGTTCCAGCTCTGCCCCTCTGTGACCTCGACAAGGGACCTACCCTCACCCTGGTTTTCCCATTTTCCCATTTCTAATGGGGTGACAAGATGATCCTCTCAGAGGAGAGGTGCAAGGCTTACATAAAGCCAAATGTGTAGCCATGTCTAGAATGTTCTCCCTCACTTAACAAATACTCATGGAACATCCATAATGTGCCCATCACTGAGGGAAACATAGAAAGGAATAAAAGACCACGCTGGCTACACAGTCTGTGAAGACCAGAAAACTGCCACAAATGACACACCACGAGTAAAGAGGGAGGTGTGGGCATGCGCAGGGCACGAGGAGGGGGCCTGTCACCTGCCTGTGGTCTGGAAGCCTGGAAGGACATCCTCGCTGGCTGCATAGCCGTGCTCTGTTTGCAAAGATAAAGGGAGCAGCCTGCCTGGTGGGGGGAAAGGACAACACGGGGAAATGTGAAATCAGTAGTTCTGAGAAGAGGGCCTTCTGGCTTGGGATGGCTGGAGAGCAGAATGGATGTGGGCGACCAGCCTGGGGAAGAAGACCTGACTCAGGAGGGCCCGCCTGCAGAGCAGAGCATTAGTCCTCATCCTGAGGGCCATGGGAGGCCACAGAAGAATTTTTTTTTTGAGATGGAGTTTTGCTGTTGTTACCCAGACTGGAGTGCAATGGCATGATCTTGGCTCACCGCAACCTCCGCCTTCTGGGTTCAAGCAATTCTCCTGCCTCAGCCTCCTGAGTAGCTGGGATTACAGGCACACACCACCATGCCCAGCTAATTTTTGTATTTTTAGTAGAGATGGGGTTTCATCTTGTTGACCAGGATGGTCTCGATCTCTTGACCTCGTGATCCACCCGCCTCGGCCTCCCAAAGGGCTGGGATTATAGGTGTGAGCCACCATGCCCGGCCGTACAGAAGAATTTTAAGCTAGAATGAGGAGGACAGATAGCAATGAGGCAGGCTGGGATGCAGGAAGGTCAGCGAGACTGCATCCCAGCCTGCCTCAAGGCAAGGAGGATGTGGCTTGTGTGGGGGCTACTGTCACCATGTGCTAGCCAACCACGTCATGTGAAAGAGGCTGATTTACAAGAATCTGCTCCTGAAAGTCCAGCTAAGCCCAGGGCCAACTTCCACTTTATTCTGGATGTTTTCACTTTTGGGCATCTTGTTCTGAGTCAAGATTCCTCCTTCTGAACATGGGACTTTCCAGAAGGACCACAGCTCCTCCCATGCATCCACTTGGCCTGGGAGGTTTTGGATTTGGGTTGTCGAGGGAGTTTGCCTGCCTCTCCAGAGAAGGATGGCCATGTGGCCCCTGTGGAGCCTGCTTCTCTGGGAAGGTAAGTGGGACAGGCAGATGGCCTGTCATCGGAGAGCTGAAGGCACCTCCCCAGCTGCGGACGCCAGATGGGCAGGGGGAAGCCACAAGCTGAGGGCGGGTAGGGAAGACTGGAACAAGCTCTTGGGCAACATTCTAAGCTGGTCAGATACAAAGAGATGCAGGGTCCTGGGAGGGAGGAGGTGACAGCTTGAGGAGTGTTCTTGTCTGCGAGACATGAGCTGTTTTGTGGCCCAGAGCAGTAAAAATGAGCCAACAGGGGATACTGCCTGCTTGGAGAGAAAGTCGAATGCTGAGGACCTGGCAGTGTTAGCACGAGGGAACTCAACAGAGTCTGGAAAGAGAAGCAGACAGCAGGGCAGAGCAGGGCTCCCCACAATCAGCAGAGTGCATTTTCAGCAGCCCCTGGGGGAGCTGAGGTCCCTCTCTGCAGGCCTTTATAAGCAGAGACGAGTACTAAGTAGGGGTGAGAGATGGGAGCAGGCTGAATACGGCCCACGTGGGCTTGGGGGTGATGTGATGTTGGGGTGGCTGACACGCGGGGTTTCCTCCATACTGAGCGATCCCTCTGTCTGTCTGATGCCTGAGTTCCCTTTCTTATCAACAAGGAGCCAAGGTGACATGGGTCAGCACTGCCAGGCCAGGGGTGAGGGTTTGTGGGGTGCCACAAAGATTAAGATGTCATTGTTTACATCAGAAGACTCACAGGGCCTTTGGGTTGCTTTGTCTCATCTCCCTGCCTGGGTTCCTGGCCCTGAGAACTCCAAAGCCTGCAGATTTCTTCAGCATTTCTAAATGTGCAGGAAATCACATCTTAACCTCAAAAGAGGCCGCAGTCTGTTTGGCTCACAAAATCTTTCAAATCATTGGACATGTGAGACAAAAATAATTTGTCTTTTTTTTTTTTTTTTTTTGGAGATGGAGTCTTGCTCTATCGCCTAGGCTGGAGTGCAGTGGTGCCATCTCAGCTTACTGTAGCCTCTGCCTCCCAGGTTCAAGCGATTCTCCTGTCTTAGCCTCCCAAGTAGCTGGAATTACAGGTGTCTGCCACCACGCCTGGCTAATTTTTGTATTTTTAGTAGCCACCAGGTTTCACCATGTTGACCAGGCTGGTCTCAAACTTCTGCCCTCGTGATCCACCCACCTCGGCCTCCCAAAGTGCTGGGATTATAGGCCTGAGCCACTGTACCCAGCCCACAAATAATTTTCAAATGGCCCTTAATGATAAAAGATCTGGGTGCCTGACCTGATACAGACCTCTCATTTTTCAGTGGTACTGAGGCCTAGGGAGGGGAGGTGACGTGCCAAAGGCCACACAGCTGATCTGTGGCAGCACCAGGAGCAGGGAGAAGCTAGGTCTTGGTTGACATCCAGTGCAATTCTCTTTGTGTTTTATGTTCCTACTCTGCATTAACAAGGAGGGACTGGAATTAGCATGGCCAAATGAGCAACCATCTAGAACACATCACATTGCCCACACCTTCATCACCTCTTACCCTTCCCTACACCCCGTACCAGTGTCAGGCAGGGGGTCAGTCCTCAGCAGAGTAGGCCATTCACTCAGTACCGTTACGAGGCTTCTCCCATAGCCTGTTCCTTCAGGAACAGTAGTGGGCACTGGAAGCTCGATGGAGAGAAAGAGCTCACGGTCTAGTGGGAAAGGCTGACTCATAAACAGACTATAAAAATAGAGGGATAAGGGTAGTCATCATGGTGACCCCAGGCCACTGTGAGAACACAGGAGAGAATATGTAGCCTGCAGAGAGGGGTGGGGAGGTCGGAGGAGGCATGTGCTGCAAGAGTGAGCAGAGGAGTCAGGGGCACTTCAAGCAGAAGTGTCTCCCATACACCTCTGCCTCAGAAACAGTCCCCAAAAACAGCTTCTTGCCATCTCACCCCCCTGTTCCTCCTCCTGTTCTGGATCACAGAGAATAACATCCGGTAGATCCCAAGGACCTGGGAGCCATCCTCAACTCCTTTCTCTCCTTCACTCCCCAGAACTGATCTGTTACCAGATCCTGCTGATTGCGCCATCTTCACGTCTCTCAATTCCCCCCACTTCTCCCCATCCTGGTTGCTCCTTTCCTCTATTCAAGTTGCCATCACTTCTCCGCTGGACTCATATGAACAGCCTCAGTCCTGCCCACCTCCAGGGCATTGTCCACATCTCTGCTGGAGCGATCTTTCTAACCAAGCATCTAATCCTGTTACTCTCCTGCTTAAAACCTACCTGAGACCCCCACATTGCTCTGCAGATAAAGCGCAAAAGCCAGTGTTGCTTTCAGGGCGCTGCGTGATCTGACTCCCACCAACACTGCAGTGTAATTTCCTACTCCTCCCACAGAGAACTACTCTCAGTTCCCCAGGGCACCAACTCTCCTCCTCCAGGCCTTTGTCCGTCCTGAGCCCTCTGCTGGAGTCACTTCCCTATCCTGCTCCAGGCCACCCTCAGCTTGGCCTGGCTGATCACGATTCCTCTTCAAGGCTCAGCTTAACCGTTTGTTTTTTGAGCCCATCCAGGCTAGGTGAGGTCCCGTCACCCTAACTGTGTTCTCACAGGACATCCCATTTTTCCCTTCATGATATTTAATTGCTTTCGTGAATGTCTGGCTTTCTCTGTAACCTCCATGAATGCGGAGACTGGGTTATCTTCCGTATGTTTTATCCCTGGTGCCTGGCACAGTGCACCTTCAACTTGAGTGGAGGGAGTGTGGGTGGAAGGGCCCCAATTCACCCCTTAGCAGCTCAGATGCATGCAAGAGAAGGATGAAGAGCGTCGGGCAGGCAGAGTGACCAGGGGCTCTGTTCTTTCAGCCCTACTTCCCATTACAGTTACGGGTGCCCCAGTGCTGAGCAAGGTTGGGGACTCTGTGCTGCTGGTGGCAGTGCGTCCCCGTGCCTTCCAAGTCCGTGAGGCCATCTGGCGATCTCTCTGGCCTTCGGAGGAGCTCCTGGCCACGTTTTTCCGAGGTTCGCTAGAGACTCTGTACCATTCCCGCTTCCTGGGCCGAGCCCAGCTACACAGCAACCTCAGCCTGGAGCTCGGGCCACTGGAGTCTGCAGACAGCGGCAACTTCTCCGTGTTGATGGTGGACACAAGGGGTCAGACCTGGACCCAGACCCTCCAGCTCAAGGTGTACGGTGAGTGTGTCTGACACCGCCTACCTGACCCTCTTCTCCCACAAAGCACCAGGCAAGCATCCTGAGTCATAGCAACCCGGGAGAGCTGGGTCCCAGAAACCTCTGGTCTCTGACCACGGTGCTGACTCAGGAAACTGCTGCTCCCTGGCAGTCACATCTAAGAAAATTCTTCCTGGCTGCATCAGCCAGGCTTCGCCGTTTCACAATGCTTGCCTGAACTCTAGCTCAGTCTTTTCGTGGCTCAGTGGCCTTGGACACAATGCTTAGCCTTCCTGACTTTCACCTTTCTCCTTTGTAAACGGGCATTATAATATTACCATGTAAAGTACCCAAAGGGTGAAATGCAGTGGCATTTGCAATGGCATCCAGGACAGAGCCTGGCCTATGCTTCCTCAGTTCCAAGAGACCATCACAGACTATACGATGTGCCATCAGTCTGTGTACCACTGTAAAGGAAAAAAATGCTATTACAAACTAAACTGACATAACTGGTTTATTTTAAAACTAAATTATAGACACATGAACATGTATGTTCATTGTGGCACTATTCACAATAGCAAAGACTTGGGACCAACCCAAATGCCCATCAATGATAGACTGGACAAGGAAAATGTAGCACATATACACCATGGAATACTATGCAGCCATTAAAAAGAATGAGCTCATGTCCTTTGCAGGGACATGGATGAAGCTGAAAACCATCATGCTCAGTAAACTGACAGAAGAACAGAAAACCAAACACCACATATTCTCACTCATAAGTGGGTATTGAACAATGAGAACTTATGGACACAGAGAGGTGAACATCACACACCGGGGCCTGTCGAGGGGGTCTAGGGGAGGGATAGTATTAGGAGAAATACCTAATGTAGATGACGTGTTCATGGGTTCAGCAAACCACCATGGCACGTGCATACCTATTTAACAAATCTGCATGTCCTGCCCATGTTCTCCAGAACTTAAAGTGTAATAATTAAATAGTAAAAAATTAAATTATAATGAAACTATAATTAAAAGTATAGGATCTACATATTTCTTAAAAGAGCTTCCGAGATTTTAACTACATGTGATTCACGCGTTCTCTCCATCATTCATCATTGCAAAACAAAACATCCCAAAGCCTACTGACTGAAAACAATGACTATGTTTATTTCTCGTAATGTTGTGGGTCGGCAGGCGCAGCTGGGTGGAACTTCTGCTTTGCGTGGGTCTGCAGGGCCGTTCGCTCAGCTACGTTCAGCACCTCAGCTGGCTGCATGGACTGGGGGCTGGTGGGCCTTGTTTCCCCACAACACCTCCACCACAGCCACCCTCGTCACCTTCATCATTTGCCCTCTCGTCAAGAAAGAGTGGCTTTCAGCTCTCATTTATCTACCTAATGGATTGGAAAAGAGGCACAGGTGACCCTAAACCACTGTTTCAGTAAAACCTTAGCAATTTAGATAGAGTGGAAGAAGCGGGGAGTCCAGATTTAAGAACGGAAAGCAGGCCGGGCGCGGTGGCTCAAGCCTGTAATCCCAGCACTTTGGGAGGCCGAGGCGGGTGGATCACGAGGTCGGCAGATCGAGACCATCCTGGTCAACATGGTGAAACCCCGTCTCTACTAAAAATTACAAAAAATTAGCTGGGCATGGTGGTGTGTGCCTGTAATCCCAGCTACTCAGGAGGCTGAGGCAGGAGAATTGGCTGAACCCAGGGGTCGGAGGTTGCGGTGAGCCGAGATTGCGCCATTGCACTCCAGCCTCTGTAACAAGAGCGAAACTCCGTCTCAAAAAAAAAAAGAAAGAAAGAAAGATTGGAAAGCAGAGGAAGCAGCTGGGAAGAGGGTAGCAATGAGGGAGACAAAGGCTGTAAGCAAACTGGGGAGGCGTCTCTAATTCCCCCCCAGCCCGAGATAGCTGACTGGCCGTTCTTGGGCGAGCCACCCAGGGTGCTGATGCAATTGGAAGGTGCGTTTCTGGATCCACACAGCCCTGAGGCTCATCTTGGCAAGCAGAGCGCTGGCTGGATTTCAGCAACCCCCCACCACCTGTTACCCTGTGACCTCCTTAGCCCAATGCCCTTGTGCAATGAATAACCTACCCCACCATACAGGCAGCCCTGGAGCCTCCTCCGATCTGAGTCTCAGCTGCCGAACATGTGAAATGAGGACATTGAATGTGATAATACATGCAGCACCCACACCACTAAGCTCTAAAATGCCTTGTTCTCAGCATCTGAATTACAGATTTTAAGGAAATTGCTGTTTTATTGCTTCCAAATACATAGCGTGATTAGAACTAATTGCACGAAACTGCCAAGCAGCCGTCCTTAGGAGCTCTGCTTTGACAATAGATAAGAATGATTTGAATTAGTAGATCAGTTACTAGAAATGTCAATGGGTGTTTCCACTGCGCTTGATCGTGTTTGGAAGCAGCTTGTCCTCTTAAGTGGTGTAAATATCCCCCCTGTAATCTTTGTTTATACTATTAGTGTGCCCAGCAAATCATTTCTCTTTCATATCACAAATCCCACCAGACTGAGCTAGCATTAGCGAGGCTTTTCTCTGCTTGACTTTGGAATGCTGTCAGAAACAGAGCCCTCCCGTTGTCACCAGAATGCTCTCCCACTGGCCTCCTTTCCACTGAGACTCAGGATTTCCTCATCAACCTGCAAGGGAAAGGGGATCTGTGGCCTAGGACGCCAGGATATCCGTGTGTTCAGTGGCCAGCCATCAAGCACCCACTATTTGCCAACACCAGAGAGCTAAGGTTATCGAGCAAGTGAGACAGAACCCCCCACCTCTGGGCCCCTCCTTCACAGCATTTTGTACCCTCATAATTATTTTATTAATTATTCATAATCATTTGTCAATACTTGTCTTTCTCACCAAACTCTAAGCTCCAGAAGGCTAGGAATGTATTTGTTTTCTTGCTTGACTTAATAAAGGCTTGTCATCTCTTGCTGACTGACTGACACATTGTGGGAGAAATACTACAAAAAGAGATAGAGTGCTGGGAGAGCTCAGAGCCACGCCTGGGGTATCAGGCAGTAAGTAATGTGTTCCAGCTGGGCCTTGAAGGATGGGTAGGAGTTTCCTAGGAGGAAAAGAAAGGGAAGGCATCTGTGTGCGCAGATGAACCATGTGAAAGATATTCAAGAGCATGACATGTTTGGGAAAACTGCAAATTAATTAGGATGAGCAGGGAGAAGCAGCAGGAGGTACGGCTGGAGAGACAGGCATGAATCATTTCCTGAAGGGTTTTGAATATCAAGCTAAGGAATTCAGCTTCTGTGCCGTGGGCAGTGGAAAGCCAGACAAGATTCTGGAACAAGACAGGCCTAGTCAGAGGTGGCATCTAACCCTGGGTGGAACCCAGAGCCAGAGATGTGCCCCCTGCCCAGCATCCCTGGGACCCACACCTGCTGTACTTCTCTTTCCCAGATGCAGTGCCCAGGCCCGTGGTACAAGTGTTCATTGCCGTAGGAGGGGATGCTCAGCCTCCCAAGACCTGCCAGGCTTTCTTGTCCTGCTGGGCTCCCAACATCAGTGAAATAACCTATAGCTGGCGACGGGAGGCCACCATGGACTTCGGCATGGAGCCACACAGCCTTTTCACAGATGGACAGGTGCTGAGCGTTTCCCTGGGACCCGGAGACAGAGGCGTGGCCTATTCCTGCATTGTCTCCAACCCCGTCAGCTGGGACTTGGCCACAGTCACACCCTGGGAGAGCTGCCATCATGAAGCAGGTATGCTGAGGGCCAGCAGTCAATGGTTGAGGGCTTATGAAGCATCAGGTCCACCTCTGACCCCACCCCTCCATGTTCAGCACCAGGGAAGGCCTCCTACAAAGATGTGCTGCTGGTGGTGGTGCCCATCTCGCTGCTCCTGATGCTGGTTGCTCTCTTCTCTGCCTGGCACTGGGGCCCCTGCTCAGGTAGGAGTCCTGCAGGTGCAGGAGGTAGGTGGAGGAGGTGGAGTTCCTGGGGAGCAGGGGGGAATTGTACCTCCTCCTGTTTAGGCTTCAGATGATCTGCCCCTTCTTACCTCTCCCACCTCATCTCTTGGCCTTCTCTAGATCCTCATATCTTGGTTTCCAACCAGATCCAACTACTTGAAGTTTCTTTTGTGGTTCTCTGAATAAACGGTTCTCTCACATCCATCTGCAGACCTTTGTACGTTATAGTCCCTCTGCCTGGAACACACTTGCCATGATTCCCACCCAGCTTCCCTCCTTCCTGTGGCTTTCTCCTACTCAGTGTTCAAATTGTGCTTGCTCCAGAAAGCCTTCCCTGATCTCCCCCACACACAGGCTGATTAATTCCTTCCTTTGATCTTTATTACTTACCCCAATCAGAGAACTATTTACACTTACTTCCCCACTGAATTCTGAGCCCTTAAACGGAGGATGCTGGGTCACCACTGGGCATGTGAGTGGTTCCTGAACGTAGCTGGGATTGACAAACATTGTTGAGTGGGATTCTAGATTACTCCCAACCCCTTCTTGCCAGAGATTTCTACAAAATGGCTCCCTAAGAGAAGCTGTTCCCTGGGCGGTGGCTGATAGGGCTGCCTTCTTGAGAAGAGGAAGGAAGGGAAAACCCTGAGATCAGACCAGGCTCCAAGCTCTACATCCAGCTCGGTCCCTGCCTCCGCCCCAGGATGCCCTGCCCCTGAAAGAAGCACCTGACTGACCAGGGCTCCATGGCCGTTTCCATCCCAGGCTCTCACGGCTGGCTTGTCCCAGGGTGCAGAGAGGGGGTCAGCAAGGAGGAGGCACTGAGGCCCCATTAGGGTGGGAAATTTTAAAACATTTCCATTCCTTCCCCAAAAACCCCATAACCCCTTAGCCATCCCCTCCCAGTTCCCCAATTCCTCTCACAGCCCTAGGCAACCACTAGTCTACTTTCTGGTTCTGTGCTTTTGTCCTTTCTAGACATTTCATATAAATAGAACTGTACACTATGTAGCCCTTTGGCTTGGCTTTTCTCACTTAGTGTACTGTCCTCAAGGCTCAGAAAATAGCACCTTTGGCCACTGAGAAGGAACCCAACCACCTGGGATAGTAGAAGGCTCCACACAGGGAGTCCAGAAGCTGGTTCTGGCTCTGCCGCATGGCTTCTGTCCAGTGATTTAACTGGGTCCACCACAGCCCTAAGTTTCCACACCTTCTACAACCAAATGTATGGCATAGTCGTAGGTCAAGGTTAGACATTAGGAAGAATTTCCTACTCTTGAAGAGCCTCCTTTTCCAGGGTGTTGGAAGACCAGGAGAAATGTCCCTTTGCTTAAGGGGACCTTGGGCTAACACACTTAGGATTCAGAGGCCTGCAGGCAGGCCAAGGATGCCAAGACTACAAACATTGGAGGGGTAACTCTTTCTGATGTATTTACCAGGGGAAAAGAAGAAGAATGTCTGTGCTGACAGGGTGGGTCCAGAGACAGAGAACACCCTTGTGCAGGATCTGCCATAAAGGACAATATGAACTGATGCCTGGACCATCAGTAACCACTGCACAGGCACATGATGCTCTGGGACATAACTGGTACCTGGAAATCGCCGTGGCACCTCATATCACCCACGGGAATCCTGTCCTGCCTCGATGGGGCAACCTGAGCAGCCATCACACTACGTGGGCAGAAAGCACCAGCACGTTTCACTCCTGCCCTTTTCTCTCCCACCTTCGCACATCCTGGCTCCTCTCTGGGCAACACGGGCCAAACAGAACATTCCCTCCAGGACACTGGAAGTTATCCAGGATCCAGATCCACAGGGACAATGATTGTCCAAGGCATTCCTCCCCCACCACTATTCATAAAGTATCAACCAAATGGCACCAAAGAATTGCCTCCAACCTGGGTCCCAGGCACTAAAAGATACTAGATATTTGAACTAACAGAAGAACTCTGAATCACCCATGCCAGCTTCGGCTTCGGCCCCAGACCCTGCCATTTGAGATCCCGATGCTTTCTGATGGCCAAGGCGTTGCTATAAGAAAAAGTCTAGAAACAGGTGAAAGTGAGAGGTGGGGGTCAGGGGTCTCTCTTTCTGGCCTGAGGACTTTCAGCTAATCAGAGTTCATGGCCCCTCAAAGGTAATTGCAGTTGTAGACACTGAGGAGAGTTGACAACCCATGGTCGAAATGGGCTCTGTTTTGCAGGAAACACCATATTAATAGACATCCTCACCATCTGCATCCGCTCTCACGCCTCCTGCCGGATCTGGGAGTGGGGATGAAGAGTCTTTTCTCACTTTCCAGCAGTGACCAGGAAAAGAAATATTGAATTTGTCCCAGCCAACAGGACATTCTTGCACAACTTCAAGAAAAGCAGCTCAGCTCGGTATGAGTCTTCTGCCTGAAACTGAGCTGAGGGAGTGAAGAGCCATAAAACACTATACAGAAGGAACATTACAGAAAGAAAGGATACTGAGGTACTCAAGAATCTGCCACATTTATTTTCAAATGCAAATGTTCCAAGGGGAGGGAACAAAGAACACCACTGCCCAACAGGAGGTCTGTAGCGGTCACTCTGACTCCATCAAACTCTTTACTGTGGCCGTCTTTGGAAGATACATTCTGCCCTTGAGTGATTCTGTCTAGAAAAGCTCTGGAGTATTGATTGCTACTGGAAAAACACTTAATGAGCTAAACTTATCCTAGGAGATTATTAGCTGATAAGGTTCACAGTTTCTTTTTTTTTTTTTTTTTAATAAAGACAGGGTTTCACCATGTTGGTCAGGCTGGTCTTGAACTTTTGACCTCAGGTGATCCTCCCGCCTTGGCCTCCAAAGTGCTTGGATTACAGGCGTGAGCCGCCACACCCGTCCAAGTTTCACAGTTTCTCTCATCCACGTGTAACTGTATTTTTCCTGGGGCCTCACTCAAGTCTGGATAATAGAGCGAAAGGAGGCATTGAAGAAACAAGGGTGGGTTTGAAAGTGCTGTTTTCCCAGGGTGCCTTCAATCTCCCCACCTAGGATGTCAGTCCCATCCAAGGACCTTCCCTCTTCTCCCCAGTTCCTGGACAATCACTTCACCATGGACAAAGGCTCAGCACAGCTAACCTCCAGACCGCATCCTCAACCTGGCTGTTCCCAGATCCTCCCTGCCTGGCCTGCTCAGAGGTTCCCCGTGGGTAACCTGGCTTTACCAGATCCATTTTCTTTCCCGCATCCAATTCTCTCCTATCACCTTCCCCCAAGATTGCCTGAACAAGGCACATGGCCACTCAACCTAGCAGCTTGTGCTGTCCCCACCTGCCACCTACAGTCACACCACATGCCTGGTTGCTGAATAGTGCAAAACTGGCCTCAGTCCCTGAAAAGGATGTGGAAAGGAAAGCCCAGGAGCTGACAATGATCCCCAGTGGTTTTGTGGGGAAAAAGTACACAGCACTCCCACCTTTCTTCTCTTCATCTCCAGGGCCCCACATCAGATCAAAGCAGCTGTGGATGAGATGGGACCCACAGTTCTCCCTCCACAAGGTGACTCTTAGCAATCTCATTTCAACAGCGGTCTGTAGGCTGGTGCCCCAGGATCACTTTGAACAGATCCACACTGCTCAAATAAAGTTCTCATCCTCACTTGTCAACTAGTGGACTAATAACCCGCCACCAGAAAAACACAAAGTGCTTCCATGAGACCAAGTCTGTGCTAATAAGCATTGAGACTGATGTTTTAAAAGTCACACCACAACAAATATTGATTGAGGGCTCAGCATGTGCTGGGTACATTTCCTGGCACTTGGGAATCAGTAGTGAAGCAAAACCCTTGCCTTGGAGAGTTCATGTTCTGGATAATATAAATAAACAAGTTGGCATACGTCAGATGTTGTGAGTTTCTTTTAAGAAAGATAAGGCAGGCCGGGTGCAGTGGCTCACGCCTGTAATCCCAGCACTTTGGGAGGCTGAGGTGGGTGGATCACAAGGTCAGGAGTTCAAGACCAGACTGGCCAACATGGTAAAACCCTGTCTCTACTAAAAATACAAAAAATTAGCTGAGTGTGGTGGCTCATGTCCATAATCCCAGCTACTTGGGAGGCTGAGGTAGGAAAATTGCTTGAACCAGGACCCAGGAGGCGGAGGTTGGAGTGAGCCGAGATCGCACCACTGTACTCCAGCCTGAGCGAGACTCCATCTAAAAAAAAAAAAAAAAAAAAAAAGAAAGATAAGGCAGAGTAAAGGTTAGAGAACAATGTGTTGGGGAGACAGGGTCTGTCTTGGATAAAGCAATCGGATAACACCTTCATTGGGGTGACATTTGAACTGAGGCCCAGTGAAGTGGAGGAGGTGAGGATGCAGTGGCAGAGTGTTCCAGACAGAGACCAGAAAATGCAAAGGCCCTAAAGAGACAGCATGGTCGGTGTTTGCAGAGAAGACAGCGGAGGCCAGAGGGACTGGATCCAAACAAGGGAAGGAGTGGGGAAGGGTCCGCAGAGACAGCCTAGGGCCACATCCTGTGGGTCTTCCTGGGCTTCAGAACGCCCCTTTGTTGGAGTTCGGATGACAGAAAGCACCCCTCAAGAGTCTAAATATCAGACTCCTCCCAGAACACCCTTCAGGACGCTCGGAGTCAGGCCAGAGCCCTCTCCAGATCTTCCTTTGCTCTTCCTTGTTTTCATTTGAGCGACAGTTTCTGCATCTGTTCTCTTGTGCGAAGGATGAATACAAGAGCTGCTAGGACAAAGGGCTCATTAGACATGATGTCAGAGAGAACGGGCGGGGGAAGGGGCATAGCAAAAGAAAAGAGGTAGCGAGGACTTTTTCTCATCAACGGAGACATGAACTTTCAGCGCCTCATTTTTTTAAAAGCTACTGCATGAACCGAGATTGTACCGCTGCACTTCAGCCTGGGTAACAGAGCAAGATCCCGTCACAATTTAAAAAAAAAAACAAAAAACTGCTGCAAACATTAATGCCACCTCTGGCAAAGCTTCCTTCCATGTGTATTAAGAACCAGCACCTGTTCAGTTAGTGACTCTTGGTTACTTACTGATCTTCAGAGGAAGCACCATCTCCTTCCAGATTTTGCTCCCTGGCTGCCTACATCTGTTCTGCGTACAGCCTGAAGGAAGGGCCTCTAAAAAGACAAAAAAAAAAAAATAGCTATCCCTAGATCTAGGAGAGCTGTAGTGGCTGCCTCCCCTCGGGCTGTGCCTTCATCAACATTATCTGCCAGGAGGGGCAGGCCGTGGACGTGGGTAAGTAGTGGGGAGACTCCCACAGTGCAGCCAGCCCGGGTCCAGGTCTCAAAGCCACACTTCTGGGCAGACCCTGGAAAACTGGAGTGTCCCAAAGAGAATGACCAGAATGGTGAAAAGTCTAAAAATCTTATCATATGAGAAATGATTACAGAAACTGGTTATATTGACGCTAGAACAAGACACTCAGAGGAGCATAGGTTGTCAAATATTTGAAGGGCTATCACATAAGCCCAGACTGTAACTGGGGCCAATGGAGCATGTCACTAAAAGGCAGATATCGACTCATATGAATAATAGGACCTTAAAGCTGGAAGGAAATCTGTGGTTACTCGGTTCAAGTTTTTTTTATTTCTCATGTGGATACCGAAACTCAAAGAGAATATTACTCCTCTGAAATTACATAAATTAGTGGCACAGTCAGAATTCCCTTTAGATTATCTCAGTCAGTCCAGTCCCTTCTACTGCACCACGCTACCATGGAAGAGTGTTCTGACGAGTGGGAAAATCCAAATACGAAGCAAACTCTTTCAATGAATCTGCTTAAGCAGAAACCATCTGAAAGCAATGCTGTGAGCTAGAGACTTAGAGTAATAAAGTATAAATCAGGCCGGGCGCGGGGGCTCACGCCTGTAATCCCAGCACTTGGGAGGCTGAGGCGGGTGGATCACGAGGTCAACAGATCGAGACCATCCTGGTCAACATGGTGAAACCCCGTCTCTACTAAAAATACAAAAAATTAGCTGGGCATGGTGGCGTGTGCCTGTTATCCCAGCTACTCAGGAGGCTGAGGCAGGAGAATTGCCTGAACCCAGGAGGCGGAGGTTGCGGTGAGCCAAAATCGCGCCATTGCACTCCAGCCTGGGTAACAAGAGCGAAACTCTGTCTCAAAAATAATAAAAATAAAAATAAATTAAAGAAAGAAAGGCCAGGCACTGTGGTGTACATCCATAGTCCCAACTACTACGGAGGTTAAGGTGAGAGTATCACTCAAGGCCAGAAGTTCAAGACCAGCCTGGGCAGCATAGTGAGACCCCATCTCTAAAAGAAATAATTAAAATTAAGAAATAAAAAGAATGGATGAATGAATAAACGGATAGTCAAAAGAGGCCAATGAAAGGATTCTGCTAGGGTATCAGGGAAAAAAAAGCCATGATATCTCTAAAGACAACGTGTTCTAGCTTCTCTTCTTGTGCCTTCTTTTATAGTTTGTTGCTTGAGGAAGGTATCAGAATTGAAAAGAGACTGATGGGAAGTGATAATCCCATTACCAGGAAAAAAACCCAGCAAATCAGCCAAACGTGAATGCAATACATACAGTCATTAAAAATTGTATGTTCTTTAGAAGATTTAAAAATAAGAGGAAAACGTTTATATCAGTCAAGGGTCTTTGGAGGCAAGCAACAGAAACTAACTCTGGTTTTAACTAAAAGAAAAGAAGAAATGTATTAGAAAGCTGTGAGTAACTCAGAGAACCAAGGAAAATGTTACCCAAGCCTCAAAAGCACAAAGACAGGGAGCCTTGAGGACGCGGGCCTCAGGGCCTCCGAAAATAGTTCTGTTCTGTTTTCTGTTCCCCAGTTGCTCACTTGCTTCTTGCGGCCAAGGTCCTTCCTCTTTGATGGAGTAGGGCGGAGTTATAGGACATCTTATCAGAAGCCTTTGCTAGTTTAACAAAAGAGAGTACAAAACGAAGCTTGAACAGGAAATGCACCCGTCTGTTCATTCAGTAAGCACTTACAATGCACCTACTATGTGCCAGCACTAATTGGGATACAGGAATTACTAAACAGTAGCATCACCCTCAAAAACCCCACCCTCAAAGAGCTCACAGACTGGGAAGAAAGCAATGTGTCAACAAAGGATTCCAGTGAGTCCACAGGGACACAGCCCCTAGCGTGAGCTCAAAGGCACCTCCTGGCCTGTAAGACCTCGGTCCCCAGTGACAGCCAGTCAGGTCCCCAGGGGAAATGGTAAAAGGAGAAGGCCTTGCCTGGGAATAAAGCTTCAGCCAGCAGAAACTGAAGACAGCATGGCATGGTGGTGTCCTGGGTCTGGCCTTCCCACAGCAGCATCACACTTTTGTTTAACTGTGTTTCCTAACACCAGGACATCTCATGCTGGTAGCTCGTCTTCAGATTTCCCTTGAGATGGTGCAGAAAAGGGAGAGCTGCTCACAAGGGCTAGGGACTGGTTCCATCCTCCTGGTGATGGTTGGGGTGGTCCTGGCTGGGATGCCTGGACTGAGAGGCTGATGCTGTCCTCTCTGCCAGCCCATCCTGTTGGTCTTCAAGCCTGTACCCACTGGCTGGGCCTGCTAAGACTCCTCGGGAGTCTTCCAAAGTCAGATAAAGTCTTTGAAGTCAGTCTAACCAGAGAGAAAATGAAAAGGTCGAAGCTCTGTCTGCTGGCAGACCCACTCACCATACGCCCGCCTTCAGCGGGCTTAACTGCAGGTGGTCAGAGCTCCAGCATACTCACTGCAGTCCTGCTCCCAGGCCAGGGAACCACCACCCCCGCTCCCACCCCTCAACAAAGCAGACACAGCCAGCTGGTGGCCTGGCCCTCTCTCTTCCCTTCACAGAAATACCTGGGATCCCTCCTGCCCCTCATTGCTAACAATCTGACAGCCTCACAGTCCCGGAAAATCCCTAATAATCCCCCCACACACCCAGAGCACTGGCTTCCTCCTGAGCACATGAGCACAGATCCCACACACAGGGGTGCCTCCACATGAGGATGGGAGAGAGGCAGATGGCAGAAGGACTGACCACAGCCCCGGCCACTCCCAGGAGAAGGACAAGAAGTCCAGGGGAAGGCCTGAGGCTCTTGGCTTACCTGGTGTCCTGAGGCTTGGGCAATCAGGAGAAGACAGAGCTCTCATCCATGCACCCATCTCAGGAAGACCTAGACCAGAGGCCAGAGTCACCAGCCAGAGCCTCAGCCAGGGCCACACAGCTGCTAATGGAGTGTTCATTCTTCTAGAGGCTGCGTCTAGAAAAGACAACCCAAGCAGGATGCCTGTCAGTCCATTCCCTACCCAGTCACCCCAGGATGCCAGGCCAGCACAGATGGTATCACACCTACACCAAGGCATGAAGGCTGCTGGCCTGGCATGTGCTACAGAAGGGCAGCTCTGGCTCTCCTCCATAGGTGCATTCACCTGAAGCTCCCTCTCCCCCTTTTAGATCACACTTCAGAAAGACAAATGGGAATTCTGGAACCTCCTTCCTGGGTTCATCTCACCAAAGATGGATTAAAATGCCTACATGTACCCTGGGTGGGTCTGAGGGTAGCTGAGGGGCAATTTGTGACAAGGTGTGGAGGAAGCCCGGGATGTGCACAGCTGTGGTCCAAGGCTCTTCAAGTGAGAAGAGAAAGG